AATCATTCAGTTTTGTTCAAAATACTGAACCAGTTGAATGTAGATGGTGGATGATTGTAGAGGGGTTGTTTATTTCGTCGAAGATAAAACTGTAGCTTCTTTCCAGCAGCTTGGGAAACATTCACAATATGAGTAATATGGTTCAAAATTTCGGGTAACCAGATAAGGATCGCACTACGACTAAGACCATGACAGCCCAATGCATCAGATTTTATAGAAAATATATATAACATCGAGCACTTCATGTTGTTCAACATAGCGAAAACTAAATAAAGGAGTACTAGTGCAGAAGCAGTTGTTTTCATACTTAGTTATGAATGGTGCACTCGATTTGGTTCAAGTAGATTATCAGAAACTTAAATTTTTTCACGTTGGCAAATATACATATTTCCAATGATTTTCTATGTTGTGTATTCAAATTATCAATATGTGAAAGGTAAGCTTTTTTTATCTCACCTTACTGACACTACATGTTTCACACTCTGAATTAACAAGGCACTTAGAGGCGAATAGTTATCTGCTCGGACAAGCAGAAGGCGTTCAAGGAAACATGTTGTAAGATAACGTTGGACCCTTGCTCATATCTGTAAATGACCGGTGACGAAGTTTGTATGAAAGTCAAAAATCACAAAAGTCAGTTGTCAGTCAGTCAGTTACTTCCGCACAGGTATTATGTAAAAAACCTATAGAACTTAAAAAAAACTATAAAATGTCATCTTGCAGACTAGGTAGTTTTTAGGGTGCAAACTGTCATTCCACGTTTGCTGACTAGGATCGTTGTGAGCATCAATCTATGAAGGAATGACTCAACTAAACTACACGCCTTGTGGCTTGCTTATCTTTTGTGAAGCCGAGTAATCTGTAGTTTTTATCTTTGAGAAGAAAATTGGTTGATACCTATTAGCTGTGTCCGACGGGTTATTTGTTGTTTCTGAAGAGAGGTTATTTTCCAAGAACTTTGAGGAGAATTACCGGTAATCACCACCGAGGCCGCGATGTAATTACTGTTAACATGTATATGGCTTGTAATTAGACAGAAGTGGATGCGCAACTAATTTCTAGCTTTGAATCTCAAGTAAGATTATTTGAGACAAGAATCCAATGGAATTATCATAAACGCATTCAACTTACGGCTTAGACCTCCAGTAATGCCATCTTTGAAGCAGATTTTACATCACACCAGAGAAAAACTTCGATAACTGAAGCCTCATGACGTTTAGTCAACACGAATAACTAAGTGCTAAGCTAATATCTTGTAGAAAACCCTACATAATATCAAGAAAAACATATAACGTCACTTTTCAAGATACGTAATGCCCGTGCCGAGCACCCATGTCAGTGTCAAGTGCCTATTTGCTATATACATGTATGTGTATGTTGTCTCATGGCCGACTCGAATCAGATATTTCCCTGACTAAGGCTCCAACTGGGCTATTGTTAGTAGTTGTGACGTATATTTACCTCTATTAACTGGGTTGAAATAAAATACGAACCGAGTGAGATACAAAGCAGAATCAAAAATTAATAAAATCTCTGTAACGGTTTCCAATTAACAATGTGAAAAACGGATCTATTATTCACGTTTTGTAACAAAATAGCATTGTTCAAATTCTGTGCTGGATAGCATGTGTTCTCCTTCTCTGATTTGAAATAGAAGACTTACATTTTCGTGAGAAAATTGAATCTCAAGGTCTATCATTTAACCACTAAGACAGCTTTCATCAGACAGAACTTATCTAGATGTTTTCAAGAAACGCTCTCACGGATATCTCTGAAAACACACAAGCGCTATTGATCTCACGAGTTCCCCATGACTTATAAGGCTCCAATTCGACCAACTTATGGTTCTCTTAAATATTGCGTTGAAGCTATCCATTTTCCTTAGGAAGATACAATGTCCAACCATTTCATTAAGTACGCTACTTCGTTATCAAACTTGATATCGACACTTCCGAGTACAAAGAGGTAATAATATGGGTACGATGGCATTTTGATGATTGATTTCCGAGTTACAATCGATTCATTGTAGAAAAGTGGCCATCTTTGACAGCATGCCAGTGCGCCATTTTGAAAGATGGTGATTTCATATTCTACGGTTATAAACTATACATGATGAGCTTTAAGATTTGGTATCGGCTGATTTCTCATTCCATTTAAACAAATCTTTCAAGACTGAAATTTTCAAATGCCACTTTCACGTTTGAACATAACATCCATGCAACAACTTCGTCGCGCTGAATTGCAGCTTTACGCATTGTAAAAACATATTTAAGTTAATCGTTGACATAGTGGATAGTGAGTAGTTGAAAGCATTAAACTGTATCAGATTATTGCCTCCACAAGCAGGGATAACCTCCAGTTTTCCCGTCAGAGAGAAAGTTGCTTCTAGTCTTCTTTTCTCCAGCTCACTGGCAGAGATCGGCTTGTCACTCTGAATTCCTGCATGTAGAGTGTTGTCATCAGCAAATCTGTGGATCGGATTGATCATACAGAAAAGGGAGTCGTTGATATGTAATAGGAAAAATGTTGGAATCAGAACTGATCCCTGAAGAACACTTGGAGGATGAAGAGGAGAACCCGTCAATTACGATGGATATCTTGCGGCCTGCGAGAAGTTAAGGTCAACTGCAAAGGTTTTCTGGGAGGTCATGTCTGTCCATGATAAAGAGATTCGGCAGTACTTATGCTAACCACTTATCTACACATACACATATATCGGATTTCACACCATTTTTGCGGCTCAGGGTTTTTGCCGTTTCAATAATTGGTACTAGAAATACTGTATCTGGGTACATTTACCTTGGTTGGATAATACATACTACGATGTAAGAACGGTCACTGCACAATTGTCCTACGCGCCTAGCCGTCGTCTACCAAACAATTATTCTTTCAGCGTATCTCCGAGTATCGTGGTTAAAAAGGCCGATAACGGCCTCCGGCCTCAATCACCGCAGTATCGGTTTAAGTCTCGACGTCGGCGATTAAATATTAATGACCAGGTCCGCAAAAGGCAGGTCGTCCGCACAATCACCGATGAGGGGATACAGATTTACGATTTGCGTGGACGCATTGGTAGACATGGTGCAACGCACGCTTTACTATGCGTACATGGCGCGCGTCTATGATTAGCTTTATATCGCAAATGATTGAGTGACGCGCTAATCGACGATATTATGATGATCAGATCAGATATTGAACATGTTGAAGCACATTTGCTCCAAACATCCTGTAGCTTTACGGAATTTAAACCGGTATTACGTAGCTTGGAAAGTGATATTATCCTTTTTTTTCTGGATATTATATATGTTTTCTGTCACAGTATGTAGGTTTTCTTATAATACGTCAACTTGGAAGTAGCTGTTGTTCACTTGATGTACACTCGTTGTTTAGCTGCACGTGTTGCCTAACGTGCATGACGTTTTAGCTATCATGGTTTGGCTCTGATGTGATTTTTCTAATCGTCATTGTCTGTCAGAGCGGTGCGTACGACCTTTGCTCTTGGTTGAAGCCTTGTAAGTCAATAGGTCTGTCAGGTCTGGTTGCCCAGATACCAAACAAAGTCAGGGAGAAAGAAGGGAAGAAGAAAGGAAGGAAGGAAGGAGGGAGAGCAAAGAAAAAAGAAGTGCATCAATTTGAGGGGTGCCTTGGCATTGCTAGTTAGTATTCGGCAATTTTAAATTGATCCTAAAATTAATTTTGGGATTGGTTGTTGAAGAAAAATTATAATTTTGGTTGGACCTAAAGTCAAACGATTTAATTTTGTTCAAAGTGCGAGTCGCGGCCTTGTGTGCTTGCGAACTTGCTCGACTGTGTTGTCTACTGACCTCGCGCAACAAAGGGTTGTTATGCGATTCCGCTTGACTATAACGTAGCTGCGCTTGTTGTTTGATGTAGTCCCTTAGGTAAGGGATGTCAAGGTCTCTGTGAAGGGTCTCGTTGGAAACATACCATGGGGCGTTAGTGATTGTACGCAAGGTTCTGTTCTGTAAAACCTGCAGGCTACGCAAATGCGTTTTGACGAGAAAACACCAAGCCGCACTTGCGTAAGTGATCGCTGGTCTAATAACCATCTTGTATGTTCTACATAGCATAGGATAGAGCTGCCGAAACGAGATTTGGAATTTAGTTTTTAACGCTTCAGTGTGCTTCTGCCAGGTGATCTCCTTGTCAAGAGTGACACCGAGATACTTAGCAGAGCTTTCCCATGGTACCCGCAGGCTTATTACGTCAAAATTTCCAACTCTGATCGGTGAGCAACCGACCACCAACCGACTTGCGAACGATTGTCGACCGACCGAAAAATTCGTATTCGCTAACGTAGTTGGCAACCGGTTGCCTAACTGTCATTGAATGCAATTTGAATGCAGTTTTTGCGACCGAAACAGCGCCACTAGCAATCGAGTAGCAACCGGTGGAACTAAAGTGACATACATATGATGATAAACAATCGTCGTGTTTATAAATCGAAAAATAATAATTAAATACATTGTGGATCGTGATTGTGAATTTAAAATCAACTATGGGACCTAGTTTTGTTGAAAATTGAACACGTAAGTATATAATACGATGGTCTGTTCTTAAAAATGAATGTCTGTGTGAGCCGCAGATGTATGGATGTTTACATAAGTCAAGAGTGGACCCTTGATACACACTTAATATATACACACAATCATTTGTCGACAAATGGATGACACAGTTTCACATAGATTAGCCTTGAAGACTTATCTCAAGACAGAAAGAGCGATGCAAAATAACGCGAGGGTGAAAACAGCTTATTGACAAGTGCCAGATGTTCCTCTAAATCAATCAGCACTTGCTGGCACTTACCTATATAGTTCTAGATGACTGCTTGTTCATTAAAGGCTGCAAATACATCAGAAAACGTGAACATAGTGTTTATTTGTGTTTGAGATTTTGTCTGACTAGGAGGTGTTTGTGTTAGTTTTCAAAATGAAGTATACTCTCAACATTGCAAATCGATGAGGTACTTGTCTTTGCAGAAATTCATCCTAATTTAGCTAAGGACAGTGTTGGGCTTGGAGGGAGATCAAAGGAGACAATTAATAGAAAGTGGGACGAATTAGCGATATGTCTGAATACTCATGGATCTGGAGCTACAACAAATGGACAATGCTGGAGAAGGGTGAGTTTATGTTACATTTTGTTATTCATCCTTTTGTCATCCCTAATTCATAATTTTTATAATTGTGCTGAATCTTATTTTTCATTATAAGATTGCAACCTTTTGCTATGGTCATTATTCTGTTATATCCCTCTTTTCATTAGATAAATTCAAAAAAGTTGTAGAACTTTTCATAGAAGAAAAAATGCAATGTTGATTAATAGAAAATTATCTTTAACAGTGTAATAGCACTATTGTTCTCAAAGACCACCTTTTCACAATATTTTATCCAAACCTTTTTTTTATTTAAGTAACTTGAGAAACGATGACGCTTATCCATTTTTTCATTAATTCAATTCTTATTAGACAAGACTTTATATGAAACTCTTTTGTACTCTACGGGTAGAAAATAGTTTGTTTGATTCAATGTATTTGTATTTTTCCAAATAGTTGCTACCATCTTTTAATATTTGCCAACATAGTTTACACAGATTCCATGGGTCATTTTCTTGGATTAGTACTGTAGGTTATAATAAGGCATTTTGTTCCATGTTCCATATGGTTTTATTCATGTACTAATACAATAATACTTTTTTACAGTATTGGATAGACCTTAAACATAGGATATAATCTAGAACTGCACAATATAGGCAGGATGCTACAGGTACTGCTGGAGGGTGCTAATGTTGATAACTTATCTGAAATCTGAATTAGATATGGACATATTGGGAACAGCAGCAGTATTTGGAGATACTGAACTTCAAATCCATTTAGTGTAAGTACATAACTCCTGGATAAATTTAAATAGGATTAATTTTAATTAATGAAAAATCAGTTTATATTCTCTATCTCTATTGCCCACTTAGTTAAACCACATTTAATTTGATTTTACTTCCTGGCACTCCACATCATCTTTTAACACTTGATCACAAGTACAAAGTTCTGCTTCAAATGGAAAAAATACAAATTTTTATTTTAATTTTTCACTAGTGATGATCTTGTTTTAGACTGAAAAATTGCATATGAATTGAGTTTCTACTTGGTATTGCTTCATAACTTCAGATATTAATTAAAAGCTTTTTGATTTTCAGAACCAACTCCTTCATCTTCAGCTGTTGAGCCACCACCAGATATAGAATTACAAATAGCTAGGCAGGGTGCACGAAAGTTGTATGCAGGCAGAGATAGCATTAATGCAACTTCAAAAAATTCACAAGAAATTTGGTCAAGCAACTAAAAGCTTCAAACCTGATTGAAATTTAGAAAGGATAAAGTATTTTTATGATTATTGTTTACTTGTGTGACCTAATCTTTGTCATTTTAATAAAAGATATTTGCACAAATCAATTTACTATATTATTCCTATCGCTGTTGTGTAACAGTGCCCTATTTTTTTGTTAAAACTACTTCTCTTAAATCATTTCATAAAAATCACTGACTTATTTTTTGTAATGGCACCTCCTATCCATAAATCATTTATAACTCTTTAATACAGTAAAAAGTTTGTCTCTCAACATATTTTTAAGACAATAAGATTTTTTTTATTGTATTTAAAATTGCTTTAAAAATTGACGAAAATAAAATAGGAGTGCCATTAAAAAAATTGTATTTGTAGAAATGCATTTGATACATTTTCTAAAGAGAATTGGTCCCCATTAGAAATACATTTAGCGATTAGTACTAATCTTCACAAGCGCGAAGTTCTAGGCTGTTTGAGTGATTGTGGAACACAGTTTTTTTGAAATTTTTACGATTGTATTTAGTACCATTATTGCTTAAATTGATAAAAAAGTTGTGGGTTCTATTACAAAAAGAAGGTCAGCAGTTTTATAACTATATTTTAAAAAGGCAGTGCTTTTAGGCTTATTCCAAATTCTCTAAAATAGATATTTTTGAATATAGACATGTGAAAATAAACCTTCCTAGAAAACTAATTCTATAACCATTAACTTTTTCTTTACAGTGGTTGATAATACCTTTTTAAAGCAGAGGTACCATTAAGCATAAGCATATGTTAATGAACATTATTTCATGAAAATTTAAAATGTTCGATATAGTAGATAATACAAACTTTAATACTCCTGTGCATCACTCTATGGTATTTCTGGTAATACCGATCCTTAATGGATGTCCAGAGTCACCTGTAAAATATATCTTTCATTTTTACTCATCTTCAAGCAGGCATATAACAATAATTACAACTGAAGTAAAATCAAAGTAAATATTAGTGCTGAAATCGGTATGTTGCCTAAAATATGTGAAATATTAAGACTCGGATTTGTTGCTGTATTGTTAATCTTACAGATAATGAGTCTGAGGTATTGGTCTTAGGATCGATGAATATTGACTTATTACTCTTGTTAATAGGAAATTTCAACTTCCACAGCGATGGAATTTTTATCAGGTAATATAAACTTCCATGTGTTGAAACTTTTTGATGTAGCTGAACTCATTGGTTTCTCAGTTAATGATCCACCATTCAATTTTGATATGCAATCTCACTTGCTTAATATCCATGGCAATATAATTACTATAATCTCTAACAGTATTTGAGGGAAGTAAATATGCTTAGATAGAATGTCTGGATGATTTAATGCTTCCACCATTTCCCTTAGTGCTTTGGATACACTAGGTTGATTGAGCCCATGTAAATAACCCATGCCAATATGTTTCTGGCAGGAACCAGCGGCTAGCACCAGAAGTGCTGCTAATACCTAAAACCAATATGTTTCTATACTGTGGTAGGAAGGTGCAAGTAAGCTTATTCGATAATCATTATGAACTTCAAGTCATAGACACTGAAAAAGACGTCTTAGGCGAGAAGTTTGCCGTCTTTGATCGTGCATTCTTTCGCTTTCCAATGCTTCCATAAGTAAAAATGCACGAGCCATCCAGAGAATCAAAATTGCTGAAAATACAAATTGGGAGCATACAATCACTTCTTAGACTCGTCAAGCTATTTTATTCCTTATTTGAACTTGTTATACTTACCTTTCTTGTTAAAAAAATGAATAGTTTTGACAAATTTATCCAAACAAAACACTAGCAACCGACTAGCGACCGACTAGTCAACTACCACAGAGCAGTTGTTAATTTGACAGTTCAAATCGCTAGTAAGTTGCTGTTGGGTCGCTGTCAATTTTTTAATACTCCTAACAAAAGAATGCACTTTTCGTTCACCAGTTGCGCCATAGAGGCGCCACCGTAGCCGGTCGGCGATTGACACGCGCTGACTGATACATAATACGAAATTTGCGTTTGACAGCAACTACTATCGACCAACTCGGGTCAGTTGACGGTCGGTTGGAAGTTAGGTAATAAGCCTGCCGAGCTCCATTCACTGAAACCTCAAACGGGGCGCCGCTACGTTTTTAGTACAATAGATTGCCAGCTTTTTCGAATGATTAATTTTGATCAGCCACCGATTCGCCCATTCCAATACCACGTCCACTGCATTTTGCAGTCTGTCGTGAACTAGATCCCCAGAGCACGACTTGCCCACCAGGGCAGTGTCATCAGCATAGGTTTCACAGTTGCTGGTGCAAGGGACGTCATGAATAAAAAGTGAATAAAGGACTGGTCCAAGAACCGAACCCTGAGGGACACTGGCTTTGATGGGCCGTGTTGTCGACAGAACGTTATTAATTTTGTTCCGAAATTTCCTACCCTCGAGGAAGGATTTCAAAAGTTTTAGGAGCCAGAAGGGGAAGCCCTTATGGATCAATTTGTAGAGAAGGCCCTTGTGCCACATCTTGTCAAATGCCTTTGAGACATCCAGAAGCAAGATGCCCTCTGATGTGATATAACATCTGCTTCAAAGATGTCATTATTGGAGGTCTAAGCAGTAAGTTATGTGTGCTAATAAATAACCTGTGATGATAATTCCATTAGTTTCTTGCCTCAAATACACTTTATATGTATGAGCATTCACTTTTTTTTATTCATCCCGGAAATAACACAAGCAAATGTGCTGATTTTCAGAATGAGATATAAAAAAAGAAAATCCCTGGTTGCTGAAGTATATTACAACTAACAGGTGAGAAAATAGGCTACAGGCAGGAATATTTATGCAACGTGTAAACGTTATTACATTTTACATTATTTTTTATTTCCAGGAATCCAAATTTGTGTGTGTGTGTGTGTGTGTGTGTGTGTGTGTGTGTGTGTGTGGTGCGTCATTCAAGATGTGGCTCTGAAGGAACACAATTAACCGGTGTGTTACGACAACGGCACTGAGTGGGTTTTCGTGATTTGTAGGGCTTTTGGCGTTTTGGGGGTATAGACGTCTTTTTGGGATCGGGAGTGTCCACTCCAGGCGGTCCTAGTCTATGCTGATTTTACGTGGTGGCATCCTAAAATGTGGAATGATGGCTTCGCGCAATGACGGACATGTGACAGACTTTTCAGACACACTTTAGGGGAATCTTGAAATAAGTGTCACCTGGTAGAGAGGTAAATAGAATACTGTCAAAAGCGTAATGTACTGAAGAAGGTCACCGTTGTGTCCGAAACAGTACATTAAAGAAGAATTTCAAATATATGTGGTTTCATTGGCTAGACAAACATGGGGGATTGCTCCTGATCAGCTCAAAATTACATATAAATCTGTTTTAATTTTTGAGGTAATGTAATTATATGTGGTCAAAAGGCAGGTTTAATTGTAGAGTATGAAATGCCACCAACGCCCCGGAAACTTGTCTATAACGTTCTTGTTTTAAAAAGGGTTCACACAAAAGCCTAAGGAAATTAAGGCATGTCCCTGACCTCAGACGTCATTCGGACGACAGGTAAATATAATTAGCAGGTACGATCTTTAATGGAAAATTGTCCTACTAATATATCCCCCTGTGACCTCCTGACCTTATGTGCGGAAATTGAATTCTTAGTGGAATCTCATGCAATTTTTTCATTACCTAATTCAGATTAGAGGTCAGTTAGGATCGTCCGAAATGTCAAAAAACATTTGTGCGTTTATTTTTTTTTTCGTTTCTGACGTTTTTCCAAGTTTTGGATGGGCCAAT